GTGTCCGACTCTGTGTGACCCCATAAACGGCAGCCCACCAGGCTGCCCCGTCCCTGGGATTCTCCAGGCAAGAACACTGGAGTGGGTTGCCATTTCCTTCTCCAGTGCATGAAGGTGAAAACTGAAAGTGAAGTTACTCAGTCTTGTCCGATTCTTAGCAACCCCATGGACTGCAGCCTACCAGGCTCCTCCGTCCATGGGATTTTCCAGGCAAGAATACTGGAGTGGGGTGCCGTTGCCTTCTGTGTATCTCACACAATAGTTCCCATTATTGGTGGCTTAGATGGTAAAAGCATCTGCCTACAATGCGGAAGACTGGGGTTCAATCCCTGGGTCAGGAAGATCCCCTGGAGAAGGAAATGGCAACCTGCTCCAGTATTCTTGCCTGAAAAATCCCATGGATAGAGGAGCTTGGTAGGCTACAGTACATGGGGTTGCAAAGAGTTGGACATGACTAAGCGACTTCATACTTTCACACACTAGCAAAGTAATTCTCAAAATTCTCCAAGCCAGGCTTCAACAGTATGTGAACTGTGAACTTCCAGATGTTCAGCTGGATTTAGAAAAGGCAGAGGAACCAGAGATCAAATTGCCAACATCCGTTGGATCATGGAAAAAAGCAAGAGAGTTCCAAAAAACATCTACTTCTGCTTTATTGACTATGCCAATGCCTTTGACTGTGTGAATGACAACAAACTGTGGAAAATTCTGAAAGAGATGGGAATACCAGACCACCTGACCTGACTCCTGAGAAATCTGTACAGAGGTCAGGAAGCAACAGTTAGAACTGGACATGGAACAACAGACTGGTAGGTACCTTTACCTTTCCAAATAGGTAAAGGAATACGTCAAGGTTGTATATTGTCACCCTGCTTATTTAACTTATATGCAGAGTACATCATGAGAAATGCTGGGCTGGATGAAGCACAAGCTGGAGTCAGGATTGCTGGAAGAAATATCAATAACCTCAGATATGCAGATGACACCACCCTTATGGCAGACATTGAAGAAGAACTAAAAAGCCTCTTGATGAAAGTGAATGAGAAGAGTGAAGAAGTTGGCTTAAAACTCAACATTCAGAAAACTAAGATCATGGCATCCGGTCCATCACTTCATGGCAAATAGATGGGGAAACAGTAGCAGACTTTATTTTTTGGGGCTCCAAAATCACTGAAGATGGTGACTGCAGCCATGAAATTAAAAGACACTTGCTTCTTGGAAGAAAAGTTATGACCAACCTAGACAGCATATTAAAAAGCAGAGACATTACTTTGCCAATAAAGGTCCATCCAGTCAAAGCTATGGCTTTTCCAGTAGAGCTTTTTCCATGACCATCACATCATGTATGGATGTGAGAGTTGTACCATAAAGAAACCTGCGCATCGAAGAATTGATGCTTTTGAACTATGGTGTTGGAGAAGACTCTTGAGAGTCCCTTGGACTGCAAGGAGATCAAACCAGTGCATCCTAAAGGAAATCATCCCTAAATATTCATTGGAAGGGCTGATGCTGAAGCTGAAACTCCAATACTTTGGCCACCTGATGCAAAGAACTGACTTATTGGAAGAGACCCTGATGCTGGTAAAGATTGAAGGTGGGAGGAAAAGGGGATGACAGAGGATGAGATGGTTGAATGGCATCACCAACTCAGTGGACATGAGTTTGAGTAAACTCTGAGAGTTGGTCATGGACAGGGAGGCTTGGCGTGCTGCAGTCCATGGGGTTGCAAAGAGTCAGATACGACTGAGTGACTGAACTGAACTGAGGAGGAACTAAAGGTCCTTGATTTTGTTTTATGGCCAAATGATTATTATTTTCTCTTGCTTGACTGTTTTCCTTTGTTTCTGTGCATTCTCTCTTCTCTGATTAGATTTGCTCTTTGGAACTTGAGGGAGGCCCAGGAGGCTAAAACTTTCCTACAAACTGCATGCTGGGCCCACAGGGATATGTCCATAGTTCCTGCTAGGTTTTAGTACTTACAGGAAAAAAAAGACAAGATAATGTAAAAGTTAAGTTTTTTCCCTTCTGGATGTCTTGTGTTTATTGGGAGAACTACTCATGTTGCTAAGGATACCTATTTTTTTACTGTTTAGTCACGTCTACAGGTAATTATTTTAAAATGCTGGTATTAAGGATGACTGTTTGGCCCAGATTGACTTTTGTCTGTTAAAGTTCATACTTTTTTCTCATTTTCTTAAGAATAAGTTGCCTTCCTTTCTGAAGAAGAGATGATCTTTCCCTATACATGAAAACACACATGATGTATTTACCATCTTTTAGTTGGCAAGAATTTTCAAAAAAAGAGAAAATACAGATACAGTACAACCACTGTAATGATTTTAATTTATAAAATCCTTTTCCAGGTGTGTTTTCCCAAGCTTATGTAGGCCAACAATCATATTGGGTACACGTTTCTTTTATTTCATTCCCCCCACCTTAATTCTCCAGTTATAGTCCAGTTTTTAAACTGCTACTATGCCACCATGGAGCCATCACTTCTTATATCAACAAAACATGAAACAAATGCAGAACAAATTCACCAAACCATTCATGGAGGCAGTGTTGAACTTCCAAGCTTGCTTATTAGTTCTCTGTCTTCCTTTGAGCACCTACTCCAGGATAGATTCTTTAAGAATCGCTGCCCGAAGGAAGAAGGCTGTTCCAGACTGTGTCTTGTTTTCATGCCAGCCCTCCATGTTGAAACCCTGCAGCATCTTTATTTTTTTTCCACGTGGCAGTGTTATATCTCTGAGTCCTGTGACCATTTAGTTTTCTGCTCCATTTCTTCTCTGTTTAGACACTGCCATGTCCCGTCCTACATACTAATTACTGACTTTTTGCTTCTGCAGTGCTTGATTCATTGTGTCACATTTTCCCATGTGAAAGTGGACTAGGAACCTTGGCAAGGAGGTTAATGGATTTAAGAGTCACTCTTATTTAACCCTGAAAGTCACAGCAAAATAAGAACCAGTGGCTTGACCCATTTTATGAACGAAGCTGTGGTCAACTTTAGCAGCAGACTAGTAATCAGTTTCACTAGGATGGCAGGAAGCACCTCAGAATTTGAACAGAATTGAAGATACTTGGTCCTTTTTCCTGTCTTTGCCTTTCAAACTTTGGTGGAAGCTCCTGATTCTGTTGTTATTTTATCTTTAATGTGGAAATAACCCCACTGTGTGGGAGTTAGTACTTTGGGATTTTAGTTGAACTCTGTCACTAATTAGATTGCACGAACTTTCAGTGTTATCAGCTCCACTTTCTGACTCTCAATTTCCTCATCTATAAAATGAAACTTATTTAGCCAAATGATCTTTAACATCTTATCTGGCTCTGAGTGTCTGTTATTTCAAATAGCTCTAATCATGTTATTTAAAAAAAAAAAGTAATGCTCACTTTACTAAGGACCAAAGAAATAAATTTGAAATCTAAATGAGAAAGAAATTTATGCATTTTTTTTCTGAGGACTTCTGTGGGGGCGGTGTTGTCCTTTAACACAAATTTTACAGCACTGTTTTTCGTTTAAGATTCTTAGGATGGGAATCAAGTCTTAACACTAAGAGAGAGAGGTTATCAGTAATTAGTCTCCAAGGGAGATTAGGAGGTCCTCCCTACCCTGTTACAGTCTTCAATTAAGTTGTATGAGAAGAAAAGGAGATGAATTACCATTGTTCAATATTACTACCAAAATCCTTGAGCCATTCGTCACTGTGAACTCAGTAATACTGAGTGTGACTCCTCCTTCATAAAGTTACCTCTTCCAGTTCTCTGGCAATGGCTAGTCTGGAACTGTATATTCCATTATGATTGACTAGATAAGGAACCCTGCCAGTTACTTCCTTTTAACTTCCTTTTCCTGAGTAACAGGGACAAATTTCCCTGAAAGCAATGATTACAAGTAAATTAGCAGTAAGAATAGAAATAATAAGCAAGAGGTCTCAATTTTTCATTGATACTTACTTCGGCTCTTTTCTTTGAAGATCAAAATGGGAAAGAGGGAAGCAAAAAGAGAACTTTCCAGTGGTTGCGGTGAATCAATATTTTTCATTAGAGTGTGGCAGGCATCTTTTAGACCTTTAGAATCAGGTCAGATCAGGAAAATACCCTCTTTTCTCTCCCATCCTGATTCTTCTCCCTGAAGGCAGCTTCTGTCATAACATCTTGGCCTAGAGACTAATCTACAGCAAGAATCCAGAGGGTTCTTTGCTCTTATTTATTGTTACTATTTTTAAACTAAGTACTATGTTGTTTGCAATTCAGTTCTGTTTCAAAACAATCATGACCACCAGATATTTTGGAAACCTTTGATGTCAGTAGAAATGAGAAGGGCCTGGTGCAGCCCTGGTCAGCTAAAGATCAGGCCATGGAGGCTTGGGCACCTTTGCACAATCTGCCATGGAGTTGAGATTTCTCAACAACTGTACTTCTCTGCAGCCAGGCTAAACCAGTTCCTACTAATGACCCACAAATAGCTTAACTCTCAACTGCCATGTTAGACGGAAGAGAGGTATCTATGCCATCCAGTTAACTTTATTCCATATTGATAACACACTGTACTTAGGAATCATCATTTATCTTCAGAAGTAGTACATAACTAGTAGTTTGCCAGAGTCCCACAACAGCCCTGGGAACTAGAAGTACAATCGTGTACACATCTTTCAAATGATAAGAGTAAGGCTAGACAAGTTATGAGAAAAAATAGCCAGGTCACTTCAGAGAGAAAGTCATTTGGAGCCTATTTGATATAGAGTTACTTCACATCTCTGGTCAGTGCTGCATTTGTTTTTACATAAAAGAGAATGATACTCACACAGACAGCCTTCTGTCATGTTGCTCTTTTAGATGATTTATGCTGGCTTGATTTGCTTTTGGCTTTCTTTGCTAAATGGGCTCGTCTTACTTCTTATATCTGCAGAAAAGAATATAAGTTCTGAGAGATTCCAAAAGGCTCGTTTCAGTTCTTGGTTTGATAGTATGTTTTGTTCTTTTTTTTTTCCCTCCAGGCCCACCATCTGCTCCTCTCAACTTGATTTCAAATGTCAATGAGACTTCTGTGAACTTGGAATGGAGCAGTCCTCAGAACACGGGTGGCCGCCAGGACATTTCCTACAATGTCGTGTGCAAGAAGTGTGGAGCGGGTGACTCCAGCAAGTGCCGACCCTGTGGAAGTGGGGTCCACTACACCCCACAGCAGAATGGCCTGAAGACCACCAAGGTCTCCATCACTGACCTCCTGGCTCATACCAACTACACGTTTGAAATCTGGGCAGTGAATGGTGTGTCCAAGTATAACCCTAGCCCAGACCAATCCGTGTCCGTCACTGTGACCACCAACCAAGCCGGTAGGCATTACATCCACTTTATTGTAGGATCTAAATGTGTACAGAGAAAGAGCTTATGTTTGTATCTGTGCCTGTTGCTGAAGTTCTGCCCTTAAGGAAGAATTACAGGGATCTAATTGTAAATGTGTGAGTTGTGTTAAAATACAAACAATACTTAGAAGGATATTTTATTTTATTTATTTATTTTTCTTAATATTGACACAGGTCTTTGTTAGCATTACCCTATAAGCCTGTGAACAATGAATGGTTTAATGGGGAGCTTGATCTGTGTGGTTGACAAAATTTTCCTTCAAACACATCCTACTTTTGGAGCCACTTTCATAGTTAAATTCACATTGGGCAGGTGGGAGAGGGGAGTTAATTTATCTCATTTCCTTCACACTTTCCTCTGCTAATGCAGATGACTAGAAAACATATTCTGTTCCTGGGTGTTTCTGCTGAGTTCATTTCAGAACTGTTATCTAGTCTTGAATATCAGATTTTCCAAAGTGTGAATGAGAATCTAAATTTCTAGGCTCTACTCCTGACCCACTTACTGCCATTCTTCCCCCAAAGCAGTCCCACACTTTCTCATACTAATTTTTCATTCTGGATTTCTACCACATGTTTCACATTGCCAGCTCGCTGTTACTCATTTTTGGGGACTTAAAGGGTTGGAGGAAGAAAGGACCATGGTTTATCCTTTTGTGAAGCTATTAAGAACAACACACTTCACTGGGAAAGGATTATAAATTGCCAACAACCCTATTGCCTCTTACTGCACTTCTCTCTTAAATGAATGTTTCAGTAAGTGCACTCAATAGTTAAGTAAAATATATCTATACTAATTGATTCTATAGTGAGAACTATTCCAGTATTCCAATCCAAAGCCATTCTTTTCTCACTTTCCCCTGAACTCTCTAGAATAAATAAAAAGTTAAGAATGCGGCAGGATTTTGAACTGGCTCTGGAATGGCAGACCTTCCCGGAAGGTAGTTTCAGTTACACAGATGTGACCAGTCTTTTAATATATGTGGTGTGAACGGGTCCTCTGGTTATGCATTTGCCTTTTATTTCTGCACTTTTAGGATGTGAACACTGTATGGTCACCAGTTTTATTTCTCTACAGTGGGTAGTATGGTTTAGGAGGTTTTGATAGCTTCACAAGGACTCTGAATGGCAGCCTTTTGTTAGTTGTCTTTTGGAAGAAGGCAATGGAAACATTGCCCATAGATCCTCAGAAACCTAGGATGTCTAGTGTCTGAGTTCCAGGGAGCCAGGAAGGTGGTCTGAGAACCCCCTGGAGAATCTGGTTTATGATTCAATCAGTATGTTCTGCCCCCACTGCACCTTTCCGGCTTCCCGCCGGTACATCTCTACTTTGTATTAACAGAATTAATACTAGGAAGGAACCTTTTGAAGCCTCAGCTGTGCAAGGTGAAATCATTCTGTTTGGCAGAGGGTAGCCTCTGGGAGATGTGCTGAGGACAGGCTTGGCTCCCACAGATTTTGTGGGGAGACTTCTCTGTCGGTGTACCTAAGGATGCAAGCCAAGGGATTATGTCAACCCCTACCAAGCCAGGAGGTACAGAGCACAGAAGGAAGACAAGCCAAAAATCCTCTAGAAGAAGAAAATGTGCAGAAATATTACGCAAGGGAAGGCAACAAAGTCAACGTTTTATTAAAAATGTAGGTGTAATTCTTTTAGATCTAGGAAAAAGGTGAACGGGGAATTCCTCTGACACAATGAGATTTTCTCTGCCACGGCAAGCAGTCCTGCCAGGAGGTTTGCTGAATAGGACAAAATTCTAACTCCTTATTTTAATTTTCGTGAAGGGTAATGGTGGGAAGAGGTTCGAAATGAAAAAAACTTTTCAGTAAGGAGACCTATGTGGCCGCCCAGAGAGCTTCCGCTTAGCAGAGAGCTGTCTGTGTGCACAGCATTGCCTCATTATGCTGCTGCGATTTGGCCTTTACTAATTCAGAATCATTGGGATGGTTTAGCTTTGATTAACAAACCCTTTCTTCATAGTAGTGCAGATTAATAATGTAGGTCAAAAATTCCGCGTGAATGTAGCAGCCATAAACTCTATCAAAGTTCCCCTATGCATATTTACTTACTCACAATTATATTCTAATTGCTGTCATTCTGATCATTTCATTAAATTAAATTCCTTAGGGACCTCTATAGGCAGTGATGTCTCACTCTATAAGGAATACATAGAATAAATGAATGTTAGCTTTAATCACCTGGAGTCCACCTAGTTTCATGGATTCTGCCGTTTTTGTCCTGTTTTCACAGGGTTCTTTCTCTCACTGGTAACATATTTAGAAACAAGCAAACACAAAACCTAGAATTCCTGGTTTTATCATCACCATCACTGGGACCGTCAGAGTTGAACAGCACTATGAAGATGAAATTCACCTAAGCTCGTGTCAGAGCCGGTGCTTGAACCCAGGGAGAATCATGCTCCCGAAAGGAAAAAGTTGCTTTCTTTAAAATTAATAGATCACTAGTGGCTTTTGTGAGACCAGATTCTGAGCATCTGAGCCTAGAGATGGCGGTCTGATTGGGCTTTGATCTTGTAGTTGTGAATGTGGTATAGTTGTGAAAGTAGCTTGGATATAGAGTGTGAATGGATCGGTGTTCTCATGTGGTTATTTAAGCCATCCTAACCCTAGTCTTACAGTGGTGGCTTAAGGTGCTAATAGCACCCCTTTCCTCCCCTCCTGAGTTCAAACCCAATTGAAATAAAATGCAGGACAAGACAAAGGGGACTCAAAAGTGCCAGCTTTATTGCTGATGAGCTGATGAAAGGATGTGAGCTTTGTATCTGTGGCCAAAAGGACTGACTCTGGTGACACTTACCCAGTGTCACCCAGGCACAGGGTAGCCCAGCTGGCTGACTGCCGGCTCCCTGCCAGGACAAAGCCTGCTCGGCTCAGGTCACCCAAATTGTTGCTCTGCCAGGAGGCAGATCAGAGAGCAGCATGGGTTTACCTGAGGACAGAAGACTTCTCCCAAATTCTCTTCCTTCATTACCCCACCCCCTGCCTCATGCCAAGAAGATGAAGGAAAGGTGAGAAGAGGAGGGGGGATGTGGCTAAAGCTGAAGTGGTCCCGTAGGTAAAGATCACACAAAGAAAATGGATGTTCTCCCTACACTCCACTGCAGTCCAAAAGGAACAAAATGGGATTACCCTTGAAAACTCATGTTTTCCTTCCTCCATCTTCTGTCCTCTGGCAACTGTTCTGTCTTTTGTTTAGGAAGAGATGGTTTTGATGCTTATGAAAAATATATAGGCTGACTGCTGGGTGATTTGTTTTCTAGATGACTTTCCTTCAGTTTACTTTTACTTAAGTGGACCATCTCAGGGAAATGAACACAGAATGTGTCCCTAGGAGAGAGAAATGCTGTATAAATGAAACAAGGTTTTCCTGACCAAGCAACAGAAATGTGGATGTTTTTGCTAAAAATTCCGTGATGGCAGCCAGCAGTAGACCTGAATATTACCACCGAATCAGTTTGCACTCTGCACCCCTTTAACTCCCCACTAGTCTCCCAGCTCTGGGGCTGGACTTATGCTCTAGGTTGTTTTGTTTGTTTTAAATTCTGGTGAAGCTCTATGGCTCATATTCTCTAGTAGCCCCACAGTGTATCCAAGACACCTACACTTTTGACTTTTACTTTGCATATGCTGCTGTTCTAGACACCCTTTACAAGGAAATATATCTGATAACCTCTCTAAGGCGCAACTGTCCTGTCCTGGCGACAAAACATCTCTTAACACTGGATTTGGATGAATTCCAATACTCAGTAGGTGGCGTAATCATTTGAACCTAGCGAATCTCTAAGATCCTTTCTAATTCTAAAATTCTGTGATTATACAACTCCAAGAATTGTAGCCATAAGCAATGAGCTTGAAGAAAGAGAGTTTAGTTTCCCTATGATGTTTCGAAACTGACTTTTAAGGCCATTCCAAGAGAAGAAAACATTCCCAAAGTGCTTCAGCTGAGTTGTCAGAATGCATCTCGATCTTGCCTCTCCTCAGTCCTTCCAAGCTGTGCCACAGGTATGCGTGTTCCACATCCCTCCCCCAGACATCTGGCAACGTCAGGAGGCATTTTTCAGGTGTCAGAACTAGGAGGAGGGAGAGGGCTATTGCATCTACCACATGAAGTCCAGGGATGCTACTAAACATCCTGTAATGCAAAGGATACCACCCTCCCCCCAACAAAGAATTATCTGGTCTGAACAGCCCATGGTGCCAAGACTGAGAAACACTGGTCTAGTGGTATATTTGAGAAACAGATTTCATGACTTCATAGCAAGAGCCACCTTTCACATTCCATCACCCACCTGTCTTTGCTGAGTTCCATCACTCCGTGCTGGGAATGCGGGCTCTCAGTGCTGTGCTCAGAGGATAGACAGTTATAAAAGGCCCTTTGGGGCCTCCTGTAAAGAATCCTAGGGGCTTGGCCATCAGATGAATTGGTGCTGCTTGTCAGACTAGCCGTGTTCCCTAGGATGGACCGTTAAGAAAACTGTTAGAAAATACCACATCGATGATAAAGTGGCAGGAACCTCATTGTAATTCGAGTGCACAGCACCCATATCAGAGCTCGGCACAGATATTCAGCACCCATCTGTTGATTAACACATTTATTTACATTAAAAACAACCAGTGAACACTCTTTTGTCAAGTAGTGATAAAGTTAATAAAACCAAAATAATGAGTAGAGAAAAGAAAATAACCAAGTACGCGAGGCATACTGTCTCTTTATTACTTACTCAACTGCTCAGTTCCCATTCTGTTTCTTGGCCGTCTTTTAATTAGACATATTATGTTATTTGAGTGAGATAATGGAGAGCAGTGGGAATTCTCATCCCCACTGGGTATAATTGCTACTTGTCTTACAGATAGTGAGAGGACAGCTTTAAGGAGATGGTGGAAGAAAGGGAAACATCTTAGAGGAATTGTGTGAGGCAGTGTGCTCCAGGCATGGTGGAGTGGAACAG